CAGCTACCACTGTAACAGATTTTGTTGTGATTTTTCATTTTGGGTCTGTTGGTTTTGGGCTTGGTTTTTTTAAGTGACAGATTGACAGAACAGAAACAGAACAAAAAAAAAGAAATACCTTCAGCGTTGTTTTTTGTCCAATTATTCCATAAGTCTGTGCTGAGGGATGAAACAGTAATAGCTGACTCTTCACTCAGTGCCCCCATTGCTGTGTAATGCAAATAGATGCTTACTGTAACAGAAAAACTCAGTATATCTATTCAAGGTTCACTTCATCCAGGAAACATGTACCCAACTTAATAAAACAGTGATACTATGCAGCAATCTAACAATTAATTTAAAACATTCTTCCCTCTAACTTTCTTTTCCCACAGCATAATTACAACTGTGGGGAAACAAACTATTGTTTGCAAATTTCCAAAAGATATACCCATTCTGTTCTCCATTCTGCTATCTTACACAATTTACAACACAGATACCTGTAACATACTACAATGTTACACCTCCATGCCAGCAGCTTAATTTCAAAGAGTCTGAATTATACTCTATCAGTTAAAATTTCATCCAGGTTCAAAATTGCTCAAGTCTTTCTGCCTTTGCCTGCTTCCCACCCCTCCCACTTACTTCAGAAAGAGTAAACTATTGTTCAACAGAGCCTTGTATTTTACCAAGCTGAAAAGCCTCCTCCAAACCTACCTTTCAGCAAAATATAGATTAGCATTCCAAATGCCATGGCAAGTAGCTGCTTCAACACCTCAGCTCTTCTTTCCAGGTGCCTTGCTGGCTCTGCTTATCTGTGCTCCTGTGTTTTCTCTTGCACTTATATGCCATGAAGCGTCATCTGCTGTTCTCACCAATCAAAAAAAAGTGCATCTGGCAACAACCTCAACCCCCCGGGGCAACCACACATTTATTTAGGAAACTGCTACTATCTAGCAATGAGATCAGGTTTTCTTTTGAAAACCTGGTTTCCTATTACCTGTGGGCATAATTGTGCATGCAAAGATAGTTTTAAAGCCAGGCCTGGTATCTGCCAGAGCAGGGCAGTGAAATACAGGGAAACGAGGTGAGCAAAATGAAAAATGACCTACTGTGAAACACGTGATCTTTCCTTCCCTCAGCAAAGCAGGCCTTGTGTTACTGCCAGGAGGACAGTCAGCTTCAGGATGCTACTCTGGAGTCCAGGGACTAGCCCTTGCTTTTCTTGTGTTCCTTTGTTGGTCCTCCCCACACCTCAGCTCCCTTCCATCCAGAGAAGGAACTGAGAGAAAAGCTAGTGCTGAGATTAGGAAGCCATCAGACACAAAGATAAAGGAGGATGGTCTCCATCAGTCACTGCTCGTGAAAGGCTTTTGATCAGAGGTTCTGTCAAGCTGAGGGGCATGTTTATCACTTCTTATTCAGCCTCCTCCTGTGGACAACACTGAAGCAAGGCAGGCCATCTGCCCTGTGCAAGGCCTGGGGTTGTGCAGGACAGGAGTCAAAAGCTGGCAAAGCCCAGGCACCAAAAAACACAGGTCAGCTGTTGCCTCCTGTATCAGGCAACCCCTTTATTACTCCCACCACAGTACTGCCATAAAAGCCTATCTCTACCTTTCCAAGGAAGTAGATATGCATCATGAGAACAATCATACTTTTTACATCAAGTGTTTGTAGGTCCCCAAGAGGTACCTGTTATACACATTTCTTATACAAAACCACTCTCCCCAGCCTCAAATGCTGTCCAGCTTCCTTGGTCACAGACAGCTTGGAACAAGTAGGACTGGTCTCTCTGAAGGGTACTTATGTAGCCAAACACACCAGAGTAGATCATCCCAAAGGCCCACTTCAGTAACGGACACACACTCATTAACAACCCCAACACCCTCCAAAGCAGAGCCACACACTTCACCATGGCAACAACTTTTGCTTCCTCAACTTTTGAGCTCCAAGCAACAAAAATATTTCACAACTTTTGTACTTTAAAACAAAAAATTTCCAGCTAAATGCTCTAGTAATGCCAGTCAACTCAAGTTCTCCCTCTGTGCTGCACCCTCCTCAGTGATCTGTAGAATTAAATCTAACCACTTCACATGTTAAGGGAAAAACACAAGCTAGTTATGCTCATTTTAATTATGCCTCCTCCTGCTCATGAGCTGCATTCCAGGAGGCTTTTTTGCCTCCTTCACCACCCTGAATTGCTGCATGCCCTGCACACCCATCGAGTGCAGCTCCAGCACTCCCCGCACTGACAGCAGCACTCATGCCTACCCGGGTAACCTCTGCTATCAGTTCTGAGCAGGGCTAAAGTCTCATGCTTTCAACACACATCCACACAATGGGAGCTTAATCCAGCTTGAATCCAAGAAGTGGCTTCGTCGTTGGGCAATGGAGCTGGGTGTGGTAGGCCTGGGAGAAGGCTTCCCTGGGCAAGGCCGTGCCTCTGCCCGCCACAGGGCGTTCGCGCTCGGACTGGACTTGACTAGGGCTGGCAGGCGAGCGTGCGTTTGGGTCGGTGAACAGGCTCTTCCCTCTAGATGCTTCTTCTGGATGCTGTCCCAGTGGAAAATGCTTTCACAGATAGGTCTGGCAGCTCTGGAAACAGCATGGTGTTGAGTGCAACCTTGGTCTCGCTGGCTTTGGTGCAATGCTAACCCGTCCACCGCAGGTGAAAAGAGAGTAAGCTTAGCGTGAGAGATGCAGACTCAATCAAGCAACTTAAGCAAAAGGCTGTTATTTTGCCCCCCAAAAATTCAAAGAATATTATAGTTAAAGAAATGGGAATATAGAGCAGTAATGTAAACGTGAAAACAGTAACTGAACATGCACAAGACCTCCATTAGCTGCACTATTAACACACCAGCAAGAGAAGAAAAAACACAATCAGCCCCAAAACTGTATTACATTTATTCCATCTTAGGCAATGATGGGTCTAAGTATTATCTCCTTGATCCTCCCAACATTCATACAACCACTTCAATTAAAAGAGAGAACCAGCATCTGCACTATTGGTACTATATATTTAGCTATGATTCTTTCAAGCCCTTTTGTAAACAATGCATTAAACAAAACTCTCAATGTCCATCACAAGAACAATCCTCATGCAAGTGATGCCCCATCTTGTTTCCTTTATTACAGTAAGTGCATTTTTTTTTTTTTTTTGTATAACAGCAGCAGCATTTACCACATTCTTTTTTTTCTTCCCCTTTCAAGTTATCTGTAGTCTACTGGCAAACACCTAAGGCTCTTGATGAAAATAAATCGTTATCCCAACTGAAATAAAAACAGGAAGATAAAAGTCCAAACTGGGTCCCACTGACTTAAGTGGGAATTGGGGTAGGCTCTTCATGTCAATAGTGCACAAACTCAGTTCAACCAGCATCTTAGCAGCAACTCCAACTTTTACATGGCATGAGACTACTCTAGATCCATCCTAGAACTAAGATTTTTGGAAGAAGAACATAGTGATTTTATTATCCCATACAGTCCTCTCTAAGCAGCAAAACTTTGTAGCCAAGGATTCACAGGGTTGATCATGGACTAAAAAAACCCAAACAAACCCTTCATGCAGTTTCAGAAAATAAAAGAATAATTAAATAATTTTAAAATTCCAACACAAAATTTCTTATGCAAGTGATGCCCCATCTGTTTCCTTTATTACAGTAAGTGCTTTTTTTTTTTTTTGTATAACAGCAGCAGCATTTAGCCACATTCTTTTTTTTCTTCCCCTTTCAAGTTATCTGTAGTCTACTGGCAAACACCTAAGGCTCTTGATGAAAATAAATCGTTATCCCAACTGAAATAAAAACAGGAAGATAAAAGTCCAAACTGGGTCCCACTGACTTAAGTGGGAATTGGGGTAGGCTCTTCATGTCAATAGTGCACAAACTCAGTTCAACCAGCATCTTAGCAGCAACTCCAACTTTTACATGGCATGAGACTACTCTAGATCCATCCTAGAACTAAGATTTTTGGAAGAAGAACATAGTGATTTTATTATCCCATACAGTCCTCTCTAAGCAGCAAAACTTTGTAGCCAAGGATTCACAGGGTTGATCATGGACTAAAAAAACCCAAACAAACCCTTCATGCAGTTTCAGAAAATAAAAGAATAATTAAATAATTTTAAAATTCCAACACAAAATTTCTTCAGGGATAAAGAGGCTTTTCTTTTCCTCTTCTCCCCCTCCCCACTATACATAATGCACACACAAAGTAGTTCTAACTATATTCTACCCAATTTAAGTAAAAACCAGTTCCAGATCTATTCACAGGTTGTTTTGTGGGATAAGGGTTTTATGCACTAAAACATCTTGTCAAACAAATCCAGACATGGAAAGAAAATTATGCTGGCTTCAACTCTAAATACTTCTTCATGCATACCTCTTGCATATATTTAAGGTTAGAATTTTACCAGGATTCAAGCTTGACAATTTTAGAACAGGTGCTGAACATTCACATTCATGTCAACATTACTGCCTAGCAGCTAAAACAAAAATTTCAAGTCTTTCACTCCTCTCAGATTCAAAATTTATCCTCCTATCTCTAAGTGTTTTAAACAAAATATTCTGAGATTTCAAACTACACCCAGAGTGCTTCAGGACCTCAGAACTTGAACTGTACTTTTAAAAGATAGAAAGTTCATTAAAACTTAGTTTTTTCTACTGTTTGATCAAAACTGAGGGTCCCAAGTGCTTAAAAGATCTTGGTAAACACACCCCAAACCCAGTGACAAAGGTGTATTTGTAATGCATGCATCATTCTTCATTTTCCACACACATAATTGACCACCACCAACATATCTGCATAGGCTGCATTCTCCAATTCATTTTCGTTCACAATAAGTCAGTAGGAGTTAACAAAAAGTATTTTACCATTTTGTAAACCATCAGGCTTAGCACACTTCACATGAAAAAATAAAGACAATGTAGAAATAAATATCTTCGTAGTAAAAAATAAATGTTTTGTGTATCAATAAATAGAACAGCTTGGATTCTTCTTCCAAGGTAGCCCCGCTTGCTCTAGTAAATGAGCTTTTTAGCAACTAGGAGCGTGTTCTTCAGAAGCATTGCAACAGTCATAGGTCCTACCCCTCCTGGCACTGGAGTGATAAAGCCAGCCTTCTTCTTCACTTCTAAGAGAAAAGAGAAAAAGATATTGACTAAGAATGTTTCAAAACGCTTTTTTTCCCTTCAGTTGCCCACACATGCCTAGTTGGCAAGCAGCAGAAAGGACTGTGACTTGGCAAATACTGGAGATGATGGGAAAAGTTGAGGCACAAGTCTTATTACAGCCATGGTGGTGACAGAATGCAGTTGGGACTGGGGCTGCCAGCCAGTTTTATTCATCTGAGTATGATTACCCAGGCGCTAGTCCCAGGCATGGTTTCATGACCTCTTCGAGTTGATCTACCTGAAGCATGGTGCCTGTTGATGCAGCTTGTGGTCAGGCAGCTGGGAAGTCAAACCTGCCAACTTTGTTTTGGAATGGGCAGTTTTTGACTGTTTGACCTGGCTAACCAGCTGGCCCAGGAACATCTGGCTGACACAAGGGCAAGAAGACCCCACGAAGGCATCATGGACTTGCATCACTCCCATCTCCCAATCGCGATGCTTCAAAATCAGAAGGTGGGGATCTTGTGAGGACCCCCAACCTTTGTTTGTTCCTGGGGAGTGGCATGGAGATCAGGACCCTGCTGTAACTATCAACATGGACAGCAGAGCTCCAGCAGCAGTTCAGTCACCACCAGCAGCAGTTCAGCCACCTGTTTAGCCTCTTTCCTCAAATCTGGCTTGCACCTTCTAACAAAGACATTCTATGATCATCAAAGGGAACTTAAAACCACAGAGGGAGAAAGTACAGTTTCCTGGTTGATTTCTTTGGCTACTTCACAATATGAACAAAGGGAAAAAAATGAGCATTGTCTCCAAGGAAAAAGAGATGGCAAAATACCCATTGCAACTTCAGCCAGAAACACTCAGCTCCTCCAGAGAAGACTTTGTTGTTTTTTTTAAAAACCAGTGTTACAGGGGTGCTTGTATGGAACTAGACACAGCCCATCCCCCAGTCTCAAGCAGAAAGGAAACACTTACAGCTGAATTAGCTCCAACCATGAACCACATCATACTATCCAAAGCTACTCAATACCTTGAATGCTTGTGTTAAGAGGTAAATACATACAGATCTTTTTTTTAAAGCATTTAACACTTGTCAAGCTAATCGTTTTGTATGAGGAATGAATATAACATAGCAATAAATCCTGACTTGATATTCTTATCTACTGTGCAAAATGCAATCAACTGGAATTGCAGGTTACTTGCAAAGAAATTATATGCAACTGGCTGAGAATTCATTGCATGACAAACTGTAATGAGTAGTTATTTGCTAATAATGGTTAGTCCAAATGGCATATTACTAACCTGATTACTACATAGGTGGTTTTTTTTTTCTCAAGTGCCACCGTGAGAGGTTTTTTTTGTTTGCTCATTTGGGGTTTTTTGCTTGCTTAGAAATAATTTATTGGAAACTCACACTCCACTTTTAAAAGCATTGTTTTTAAAAAGGCAGACACACATACACAGGAAAAAACTGAGCCAGCATAACTGACCCAAGCACACACATTTGCACTGAAGTCACTACAGCACAGAATCTATACCTGGCTCTGAGAAGAGATCAGTGGATGGAAAACTAGGCACCTGGATTTTGGAACAAACAAGATAACTTGCTCCTGCTTTAAGTGCATTCATGTGGAATGTATGTGGTGCTTTACTGCTGAGAATAACAAGGCCTCACAAAATGAAATATTACAAGAGAATTTGAAAAGATGGGTATTGGTTTTTTGGAGAGAATATTTATTAGATTTCATGGGGGGATGGAAATGGAATTAAAAAATATTGTCTGAACTCTGCAAGGCAAAGACCTAAGAAGAGCATTTGCAGAAGTTAACAGCTAAAGAACAGAAGATTAAGCCACACAGAGGAGAGATTGTAATTACAACTGTGAAGATTTTAATTACTCAATTGACTGGTACCACCATATATATTGTTAAAATAGTTGGAAAGGCGAACAAATTGCAATGTGGTTTTTACATGTAAATTGTAACAAATTAATTCAGATCTCATATGATCTTTTAATATTCTCAAACACAAATAATTTGTCTTTTTAATAGTTACACTATTTTAAACTATCTGCCATTTGAGATTGGTGTTTATACTTAACACATTCACTACAAATCCCCAGATTTATGTCATAATTATTGAGATGTACCCACAACTGAAGTAAACACAGTAATTAACGTAGAAATATTTTAGGCACTCGAAATTGAACTAAGTTTGTTTCCATGGCAGGGTTGCCTACCTCTTCTTGTGGTATATTATTCAAAGTACTCCTATCTTCCTTACAAAGAGGTACAATCCACAAATGGACCATGCCTTACCTAAAGAAAACCTTCTAATGAATTGAATGTCATGTACAGCACTCATTACCTCTAAGTGTCAGCAAGGGTACTCAGCTGTAGACACACAGTACCCTGTTTTCACAAGTTGTTGGGGGAATTTTTCTACCCATACTCTATCATTATGAAAATCCCTGTGGGCCAGTGTGGCAGAAGATATATTTTGTATCAGTATAAAACCACCCGGACAGCTTATTCACAAAAGCTGATCCTTATTTTTAAAGGAACAACAGGTGTCCGTGTTGAGGAAATTACCATCCGGTAAGTCTCCTGGAAAATGCCATGTCCCAAGATGAATGCCAGTGACCAAGGCGGGAAAAATAACTTAGTCCTCAAAACTATATGTAGATTCTCTTTTCCTCAGAAAATGCAGGCCAAAGCACAGTTCCAGGACAGCACTTCAGCATGGCCAACCTCATGCTGGCAAGTAAGGTGCAACACTGTCTGTTCCTTCAGAAGGTCGTGTTTCTGCTTCTCAGCAATAGTAGAACTTTGTCCCTAGCTTTAACTCTGCATTTCTTGAGATGCCTGCTGTTGTCCCAGGCCAATCTGAAAAATGTTGGATGCAAATTAAGTGCCTATGGGGGAGGAGCTGCTGTTTTGCAGCTTCTGTTGAACCTTAAAATCTTCCTTTGATACTTGAGAAGAAATGAAATGTAGATTGTTTCCTTGAAAAACAGGATCCACTGCTTTGGAAACAGCCCTTCATTCCTACGTTCCTTTAAAGCTAAGGACATCAGACACCTAATAGGGTTAATCACACAAACCAACAGCAAGTCTCAACCTGAAGACAGTTCTGGGTTTTGTGCATCTGCATTAAGTGATGCAGAGTAATTCCTGCCTAAGCACTGTTTCCCCACACCTTTATTAGTCCCCATAAATCTCCTCTGGATCACTGCATCTCTGCAGCACCACAGAAGTGCAAATCACGTGCTCAGCAATCGCAGTTCTACTCCACACATGCTGGGATTCTTCTGGGTTGGTATTCTAGGGCACCAACCACCAGGCCTCTAGCCCACTTCTCATAGTCCCTTCCTTTTGGTGTTATCCCTGTTCCTCTCACTGCAGCCATTTTAACAGCAATATAAAGGAGAACCACAGGATTATAGTCCAGTACTCTAATAGTGTATACACCTTTCCTCCTCCAGTAGCTCAAAAAGCCAAGCCACAGTGACATCTTGGGCAGAAAAATCCAGTATAAAATTATGCACAACTGCTTCTTTGCATTCAGCTAATTAGCACTGACAGGTGGATGGGATATCTCTGTAGCCTTGGGATAACAAGCAGAGGGAGCAGAAATGCATGATATCAAAGATTGCTGACTTAGATCCCTGCATGACATACTCTTCTGCCGAGGAGCATCTAGGCTTGACCACCCAGCAGGTCACTGCCAGCAATCAGTAATCAGTCTGTTTGACCTTCTGGTGGTCACAGCCCAACACTGACATTCCTATTTAATTCCTGCACTAGTGCAGTATAGCAACAGGAAATGCTTCCCCTGATTTTTGCAAAGCAGCAAAATGGTGACAAGATTACATGCACCAGACTTTTATTAATTGCAAAATGAATGCCAAGTCTTCAAGATGAACTGAGAAATTAACTAGCAAAAGCTGTAGCAAATCCACCTTCTGATTTCAGGACCACTGTCTGGCAAAGCTCCACAGAGAAATAACTTGGAAAGGATGCAATAAGCTGCAGAGAAACCTACAGCATGGAAGGTAACACAACGAACGCAAAGTGGCAGCAAACAACCACCAGAAGCCACTGTTGCTACAAAGTCTGAGCTTCCTGCAAACTGTGGCTAAGACACACCTGCGGGACCACCATTTCCATCAAGAAATTTGATGTGAAGATTATGGTGGCTAATCTCTTAAACCACATGAACAAGTTTCAAGAAGCTTGTCAACTTGCCCAATTACTTCGCAGTCGTTAGTCCTGTAGCTGATGAGGACAGGATACATTTCTTTGGTTTTCATTCAACTGATGACTTACTTCTTTCTGGTGCTCTTGGACTATCCGGAAGCAAAAAGTGAATCTGGTCCACTCTTCACCTTAGTAGTATTCAACATCCCATTTCTGCATTCACTATGTACGATTGTTCCTCATTCCAGAGAAATTCATAATACATGCCCGTCACATTCTTTTCTGCTCTTCAATACTGGGACCTCCACACTGCTCCTGGTGGTACCCATCTTCCAGAAGCTCTTTTACATTTGCCTAGGCTGCACTAAACAAGCCAGGAGAACAATTCTCAATTATAAACCCCTCTGCTGATATTGCAACTTCACCACCTATGAAGGTCTTATATGAATAATTTCTTTTCTCTACAAGAATTAAGACTCAAACCCCAACATTACTGTCTGCTCGTCAAAGATATGGGAGGAATCATAAATAAAAGCAGTAGTTAAAGCAAATTCCACTCGAGTTCTGTACACTTTGGTCTCATTTCCAGTTCCAGCTCCAAAGGTTAGCTACTACACCAGTGTCTTACTACCCTGCTCTACCAGTCACTCCTGCAAACGGTGCTCCACCCAAAAAGAGCTGTTCCAGTTAAACGCTCTGTGTAAGTTGTTGCTTTACTTCATGTTCCTGGTCCTTGTAGCCCTCCTCCTCCCTTAGCATTATTGCTGTGGCAACAAAAGCCCTATAAAACAGGGCCAAGTACACCCACACATGCACTACCCTGTTCACAGAAACATCTCCCTTTCTGTGACTGAAACTCGCTGCCCGAAAGTCACTAAAATGGCGCTGGCAATAACCTAAGGATGCCACCCTTCCTCCTCCCCCTCCTCCTCCCAGGCACTTCACCCTTCCTCCTGTGGCTCCCAGAAGCTACAGAACCTCCCTGGACTGTATATTTTGGCATATTATTAACATAAACAGGGGTACACTGAACATGCTGCGCTGGTTATACAAAGAGAGATGCAGGCTGGGTTTAAGATACAGTAGCAATACCAGGCCAGGTACTTCAGGGCTTCCCAGTTGACCTCCACATCCACAGACTTTCCCTGTCCTGTTCTTTTAGATACTTTGGAACTGCACAGTGAACTATTCTGAACAAGAAAAAAATAAATCAATCTCTTTTTTGATGTGGATACAGTTTGGAGTGTCAAAATGAAGAGTACAGTTAGGGATGGGGGGGGAAATCACAAACACTATTTAAAGACAATAAAGCTTGGGATTTTTGCCCAAAACAAAGGGTTAAGTCTGACCAGCACAGAGGTACCCTGGCCATCACTGCCAAACAAACCATCACAACAGCTGTAAGTGTGATACACACAAGTATGATACTGTTCATAGAATCATATAATGGTTAAGGCTGTAAGGGACCTTAAAGATCATCGAGTTCCAACCCCCTTGCCATGAGCAGGGAACCCGAACACCAGACTAGGCTGCACAAAACCTCATCCAGCCTGGCCTTAAAAACCTCCAGGGATGGGCATCAACAACCTCTCTGGGCAACCCATTCCAGTTCCTCACCACCCTTATGGTGAAGAATTTCTTCCTAATATCTACCCTAAATCTCCCCTCCCTTAGTTTAAAACCATTACCCCTTGTCCTATCACTGTCTTCTCTGATGAAAAGCCCCTCCCCAGCTTTCCTGGAGCCCCTTCAGGCACTGGAAGGTGCTCTAAGGTCTCCCTGGAGCCTTCACTTCTCCAGGCTGAACACCCCAACTCTCTCAGCCTGTCTCCAGAGCAGAGCTGCTCCAGGCCTTTGATCATCTAGGTGGCCCTTCTCTGGACCATCTCCAACAGGTTCCATTTCTGTAAGTAAATTAAACCATCTTGTTGCTCCTCCTCCTCTCCAGAGTTTAAAGGACAGCCAAAGTGCATTCCCTGGCTTCAGAGGGTGCAACACAGGTTCAG